AGATAGAATAGGAGCAGCAAAGCAACACGTCAATTGTCCATGGCCATTTGTAAATTGAGAGGGAAATATCTTTTGCAAACTGAGAGAGAGAGAGAGAGGAAAAGGCAAATGACTTTGGGAAAGAAAAAAACGAGAGAGAGAGAGAAGCAGATCAGGAGTTTGTAGACTCTTGAGTTGTATTGTAGGGTAAGTTGTAAATCTCTAGGTTGTAGGTCTCTAGGTCATCATTGTAAGTTATAGATTCTAAGTTATCATTGTTGATCTCTAGGTTGTAGATTTCTAGGTGATTATTATTATCTGAGATAAGAAAGGGATAAAGATGAAATGTAATTTCTTAAGCCCATCAGAGTATGACACGTAGACTGAAAAATCTTCTCTTTGTATTATGGTCGGGTCGGGTGGGATGGATTTTTAAATTGCTTACCCAACATCTGACTGCCAAACCGAGAAAATGCAGAATTTGAATCTGCCACCGCCTCAAACTATTGTCGAAACTGTCCGTTAGGTGTCGGGTCGGATGGATTTTTGAACAGCCCTACTCATAAGCCCCTTCATAAGTTCGGCAAATTGGGTTGTCCAGGTCTGACTCTGAGATCTCATCCATTTGATGAGCCTTAACAATATTACCAGCATGTGCTGTATTAACTCTGAATATGCCCACAACCACCCCGCTATTTGAACAGCTATAGTGTGAGTTAGTCTCATCATAAATGAGATGGGCTACAACCCATAAAAAGTAGCTATTTTCTAGGAAGCTAACCCATGTGATTTTCTCCATAAAAAGGTTCAACAGCTAGGAGCAAAGGTGGTTAGATGTAGCCTTGATTAATACAACATAACACTAATTTCTAAAATTAGATCCAAGTGTTTAAGTTGAGTAAGGGTGTCGGACACATTTCACACAATTATTATTGTCATATCTGGTGGACACAAGTATTCTGGGAGAAATATAAGAGTTCATGTAACACAACCACAACCACACATCACTGGCCCCATCTATGTGCTAATTTTTGCGTTTATGATTTAAATGGGTCATGCGTTTGCTGTGTGGGGTAGTGGTGGTGGTGACTGTGGTAGCGGATGGATTTGATTTGCCTGTGGATAGTGGAGTTGGCCGGCAGTGGTGGTGACTATCTAGGTTTGATGTGGGTCAGCCACGGGCGATAGCGGTTTTCAGTGGTGGTGAGTATTTGGTTCTCTTCAGGTTGCAAAGAAGGGTGTGAAAGAGAGGAGAGAAGAAAGAGAAAGAAGTGAATTAGGAAGTTGTGAAATAGCATGATTATTTTTATCTTTTTACCTTTTCAATGTTTACCATTGGGAGAAGTAATTGATAAGGGGATTCCATGTTTTTGGGCCCAGCCCTAGGGGGATCAAGTGTAATTTATCCAAAAATAATAATTGGACATGTTTGGACGTATATATGGCACGTGTCAGAAAGTGTCCAACAGGTGTCGGTGTCTCACATGGACACACCACCTTCTTAGAAGTGTCCATACTTCTTAGATTGTTACTATTACTATAGGAAGCTAGGTGACAATACTGAACAGGCATGAAAGAAAGTATGCAAATCTGCCCTGCACCAAACAAATAAAACCACATTTGGTGACCATGCAACTTGAATTTTACAATGCATGCACCAAGGAACCTAATTCAAGATTTTGCAATATCATCTTCAAATGGAAACCTGTTCAAACAAAATGAGAATTCAAGTCCTCCAAGCAACCACCATTTATTGCATTATTAAAGAATGCTTATATTGCTAAAGTCAATGTCATGTATAGTTTCTTAATTTTTGAGCCTTTTATATTTTTTTATAGGATACCATTCCTTCATTAATTGATGTTCAAACACTGCACAATCCCTAGATATTTAAATGTTGATATTTTCACATTGTAACAATTATTATTTCTCTATGGAGAAGTTTATGCTACCATTAAAGTTTCTTTAGGTTCATTGAAAATATATGTAGAGGACTGCAGAACTCCAAGCAGCCAGGTTATTTCTCCTTTTAGCACAGCATGTTTCATACACCTTGGTTGATACTTGTCAAAAAAACCACGTGTATTTCAGTTCCTATATTTGTATCAGTGCAGTAATCCATTGTGTCTGGCAAATTTAATTATTTTGGCACACATAAATAGGAACTGTTTTTGCTTTATTAGCAGGATTTCATCTGTATCTAAAGCAAATGATCAATCCTTCCTTCTAGAGATGGATGATTAGAAACTAAGAGCCTGTTCGGGAATTGGCTTTTTTAGTGTCTTTTTGGCTGAAATATGAGGTGAAAAAATTAATATGTTTGGGAAGGACTTTTTGGCTTTTAATATATAAAAATAAAAAAAATAAAAAATAAAAAAGGAGCAAAAAGTAGAATGAATGAGAAAGAATCTGACTTTTTAATATGAGTTGAAAATCATTTGGCTTTTTGGCATTTTTAGTGGCTATTGGCTAAAATGATTACTTTCCAAACGCACCCTAAATCTTTTTGTATTATGATTGACATGAAAGGACATCTCAGACAGAATAAGACACAAGGAGGAAACTAATTGCATAAGAATAACTAAATTGGAAAACTGGAACAGAGAGGGGTACACAAAGACGCTATAAATTCATCCACTCATCCACTCATCTTTTGGTTGACATCAAAGCCACAGGACAACACATGCAAGTTATAGTAGAAAGGCATATTTATTGCACTGCTAGTTGATGCAATACACAAGAAGAGCAAGAAAACCAAAGTTAAAGAAGTGGCAATATTTGGAAATTGCAATGGTTTCAAGCTACTAGTATTATCAGAATTTTATTTTATAATTATTTTTATATTTTCTAGGATTTTTAGGTCACGGGTATTTTGATAATTTTTATATCTTGCTGACATGGGTTGTAGGGGTCGCCTACGGATTGTCTTGTGAATCAAGTTATTTAATTGATTTTCATTTATGTTTCTTATTTGGTCTTAAATAAGTTTTGAAGTCAAAGTCTTCTATTTTGGTATTCTAGTTAGTTAAAAAAGTCTGTAAAATCTATATAAAGTAATGTAATGTTTCTAATTTAACAGAGTTGATATTTTAGAGAATTTGCAGAACGCTGAAATTCTTTTATGAATTTTATGATGCAATCAAGCCCCAGGCGTGATGCCTAAGGTCTCAAGGAGTGATTCCCAGAATTATCTTTCTCTTCTTTTTTTCTTTCTCAAATTTCTACACTACAGCAAAGTTATTGTTCACGAGTACTCTCCATAGCCCCTTGAAACAGTCCCTAAACAATGCCAAAATCTCATCTTTTCATGCTTAAACTCTTAACCCCTTCATTTCCTTAACCAAACCCATAAAACCCCTATACTTTTATTGCAATTTCAACCATAAACCCAATTAAAATCAGCCCAACAAACCCACTGTTGCTGCCGTCCCTAATCTTCTTGCATCACTACTATTCATAAGTTAGTAGACTTCATTTGCAACCTACAAATTTTTTGTCCTCTGAGGCTCTGACCTTAGTTGAACTACCATCTATCATAAATCAGAAGAGAACAACAAGCACAGCTTAAAACTTATGTACACTTCACATATAGAAATGTTGTTGCAACAAATTTACAAGTATAAACTAGTAAATGCCAAAGCCATATGAGGTTAGGCATGTTTGCTTGCTTAGCATTCCAACTGCGTGCCTAAGCTAACTTTTGCAAATTTGTCTAATATTTGTTGAGTGATACAATGTTCACTTCACGAATTTTCTATTCTAGAAGCCAAATCTGGTTAAATATTTCAAGTACATCAACTCCAACCAAAAGACACTTTATGAATGTCATCATCACAGTAACATGTCCTACTAACACGGGCTTGCTACGATTGCCTATTGGCTAATAGCTGTACACAGACTCTGTTTCTGTTTTAGCCATCATCCAAGCAAAATAACCAAATAGTGGTAATTTTGTTCAAGCTGAGTTCTGATTCTCGAGAGCTAAGAAACATGGATACAAACACGTGTCACATGACAGAGACACCCTAACACAAATAATAATAATAATAATAATAATAATAATAATCAAAGATGCAAAACACAAAATGTGGAGGATGCACAACATATATATGTTATATTTATTACAAGCCATAAATATGAATATTCCATTTAAAGATAATATAAATTACAACATAACATTAATTTCTAAAGTTTACTTATCAAAAAAATTAATAACTACAAATCTAAATTGTTCTTCCTTCCATCATTGGATCCAAAACTATTTTATTCAAACTTGTAATTTATTTTATATGTGCCTATGAGATGAACACATGCATCCCCAACTGTGTGAAAATTTAATTTTTTATAAAATAATAGGACATGTTTGGATGCATGTCCAACACATGTCGAAGAGTATTCAACAATTGTTGGTGACACGTGTTCAACACAGACACGCCACCTTAGAAGTGTTTGTGATGAAGATGCTTTTGAGCTCAAGAGATACAAAAAGATACAAAATATCATATTTTCTACATTTAAATTAATTACCAAATGTATCTTCATGACACATAAAGCAGAAATAACAAGAATAATGCATCCCATACTATTATGACCGAACCCAACGACAAAATCCACCCATCTGCCCAACGAAACCCATGTACACACGACAAGCTACAAGTCAAAAACCTAACACTACAAAGCACATACCCAATGAAATCGAGCATAAAAATCTAAAAACATGCAAGAAAGCATTCAAAGGCATTCAATTCAAATCAATAATAACCCGCTAACCCACAAATGTATTTAAACACCAAACCAAAAACCTAGAAGAATGCCCTTTAAGTCGTTACAAATGGAAAGAAAACCAATGAACCAAAATCTAGAATTGCCCACATACCCAATGAACTATAAGCATAAACATACGAGAAAGCATTCAAAGGAATTCAATTTTAATCAACAATAACCTGCTAACCCACAAATATATTTAAACAACAAAACCAAAAACTAACAAAGAAAACCAACGAACCAATATCTATAATTACCGGAAATGGTAGCGACCGAGCCCATGCTTGACGCCCCACTTGAATTCCCCCACATACCGGCTGCCATCCTCACAGGTATGAACTCCACAACCATGACTCTGCCCATTTGACCATTCCCCAGCATAAACATCTCCGGTATAGAACCCATATACCCCAAAACCATGCCTAAGGCCTTGCCTATATTGCCCACGATACCGACTCCCTCTCGCCCATGTCTCAACCCCATAACTATCATACTTTCCATCAATCCAATCCCCTTCATACCTTCCACTCATGTAATAGTAATAAACCCCACTACCCGAGCACTTCCCCTTATGAAATTCACCCTCGTATACATCTCCATTGCTATAAGCTTGGACCCAACATCCTGAATTTGCCTTTTTCTCCGATTTTGGCCTCGAACCAATGGACCAAAACACCGGCAAAGGCGGTCTAGACCCGTTGGTCGATGATGAGAGCTTAATTGGGAATGATCGAGCAAGGAATAGGCGAATGGAAGGGAGGCGAGGGACCGCGAGATTGAGTGAGAACAAGAGCGCGGCGGAGAAGGCAAAGGCAGAGAGGAAATCAAGCACAAATGAGCGACTCGGATGGGAAACCAAGAAGTAAAAAAATGGAAGAGACAGCAAGAGAATTAGGCGGAGGTGGATTCGGAGGCGGCGGAGATGGTAGAGGCGGCGGCGGAGGAACCGAAAAACGGTGACTTTGGTGGGCAAGCGGTTGGAGAAATTTAACAAATAGTGGGATTTCAATGTCAATGGTGGGTTGGAAGAAAATGGGTATTGGTGAAGGGAATTAGACAGAGTGGGGGATTTAGAGAGAGAATTGGACGAAGATGAAGATGGGTTGTTTGTTTGGATCATGAGAGGCCGCTTGTGAGGGGTAGATTTAGCTGTTGGTGTTGAAGAAGATAGTGGAGGAGCAATTGGGTCATTCTGGGTCAGTGTCTGTGTTTGTGCTTGGTCTATGAGAATTTGTGGGTTTGATTCAGAGGATGAAGATAATGATTGAGGAGGAAGATTTAAATGGAGATTTGAATTGAAATTGCGAATATTGTGACTGTGGGTTTGTTGTTGAGTGTGTTTTTGGTGGATTGAAGGAGGGAAAAGTAGAGGCGGTGTTGGATTGAAACCGGAAGAGACGCCGCTGCTTTCTTTTCCGATCTGAACTTCAGATTTCTTCTGATGCATTACATTACATTACATAAGTAAAAATCCAATTCAATCTCAGTCACTCTCTTCTCTGTTCTTCTGAATCTAGATGATTGAGGAAGACGAGTCGCCATTACGGGGTTCTGGTGTGGATCTTGAATTTTGGAGGAGTTGAGTTGAGTTGGGTTTGGGTTGGATTGGTATGTGAAGAATGGTAGGACGGGATTGTTTTTCTCGAGCGAAGTCTGCGAGGAATTCATATGCCTTTTTTGTTTGCGGAAGTGAAAGAGGAGAGAGAGAGAGTGTGTAATTTGAAACCAGGGGCGACACGTCGCAGCCGAATGCCCTTTCTCTTTGACAAAAATGCTAGCGAACCTATCAAAATTTTAAATTTTTATCCAATATCTGTATGATGGATATAACACCTGCATAGAATTCATAGGATATAAATCTTACATTTATATGATAATTTTGATAAAGATTTTGATAAAATTTTTAAAGTTATTATTACTCTTCTGTTTAATTTTAATTGCTGAAATGCCACTCTTTTGGTGGTTTTCATTATTATTATATTATTATTTTGATAAATTACACGGACAACTCTTCCATTTTTTTAAAATCACACTTAACTCTTTTATGCTTTGAAATATCAGTGACATCACTTATTTAGAGAGTTTTGGTAATAGTTTAAGCCTTTCATTAGGCAACCATCCATTGACTTAACGAAAAACTTTTACATCAATAGAAATACACCCAAATATACCAATTTTGTCCTTGTAAAGGTTTATGTATCTCTTTCAACCTAAATCACTCTATCTATTTACTATCTCACCAAGATATGCTATCCAGTCTCATTACTCAACCACCCTATCTCTTTTCCTCATGACCACTGCCATAACCTCGCGCCCACCGCCATACACCACCCAACTCCACTCTCTATGACACTTTTATTACCCTAGTTGATATATACCACTCAGTCTCATTCTCATTGCCATACACCATTCAGCCACAATCCCAACCTCATTTCCATTGCCATACAAACAATCATCCCTAGTCTCAACCCTACCGTCCATAGACCTATCGCAAACCCATCAACAGCAACTGGGCATTACCTCAAACACCTTATGAACAAGATAGAGATAGATAGTTAAAAAGATATAGTATTACTTCCCTAACCTTAGCAACCTCAAATCACCCAATTTATACATAATAATACCCACATATCAAACATAAATCCATGATAGAACAGAGAAACAGAGCATGTTGCAAAGAATTAAAAAGAAATGGTGTGGTATGGGATTTTTTTTTTTTTTTTTTTTTTTGGATTTTTAACAAGAAGGGTAATATAGTAGTTTTATCATTTAACTTATAGTGTTAACTGACGGGAGAGGTCAGTGATAAAATGGGTCAAATCACCCAATTTATACATAATAATACCCACATATCAAACATAAATCCATGATAGAACAGAGAAACAGAGCATGTTGCAAAGAACTAAAAAGAAATGGTGTGGTATGGGATTTTTTTTTTTTTTTTTTTTTTTGACTCTATCTATTTACTATCTCACCAAGATATGCTATCCAGTCTCATTACTCAACCACCCTATCTCTTTCCCTCATGACCACTGCCATAACCTCGCGCCCACCGCCATACACCACCCAACTCCACTCTCTATGACACTTTTATTACCCCAGTCGATATATACCACTCGGTCTCATTCTCATTACCATACACCATTCAGCCACAATTCCAACCCCATTTCCATTGCCATATACACAATCATCCCTAGTCTCAACCCTACCGTCTCAATCCTACCGCACATAGACCTATAACAAACCCATCAACAGCCACTGGGGCATTAGCTCAAACACCTTATGAACAAGATAGAGATAGAGAGTTAAAAAGATATAGTATCACTTTCCTAACCTTAGCAACCTCAAATCACTCAATTTATACATAATAATACCCACATATCAAATATAAATCCATGATAGAACAGAGAAACCGAGCATGTTGCAAAGAACTAAGAAGAAATGGTGTGGTATGGGGTTTTTTTTTTTTTTTGGGAATTTTAACAAGAAGGGTAATATAGTAGCTTTATCATTGAACTTATAATGTTAACTGATGGGAGAGGTCAGTGATAAAAGGGGTGACAGTGTAATTTCAAATAAACAGAGGGGTGTCAAAATTGTGATTTTTCTTTTTGGATAAATTACAAATACATCCCTGAGACTTACTTAAAATACAAATTTCTCCATGTGGTTTAGAAAATTATAAATATTTCATTGTTAGAATTTTTTATTTGACAAAATTAACTCAAAAATGAAATTCCTAACTGCTTTTCTATATAATAATAAAATTTACCTTAATTATTAACTGAAATAAATTTTTAATATTATTAAAAACTGTTAATTGATTTGATACTTTATTAATAAAATGGGGTCATTTGTTATGAACTTAAAAACTTCAAGGGGCGAGCTGTAATTATCAGAATCATAGGAGGCAAATCATATTTTAAGCAAATTTCAGAAAGTGTATTTGCAATTTACAATTTTTTTAAAAAATTTTTTGGTAAATTGTAAAATGACATCTAGTTTTATGTTACAAAAAAATTTACTTAATGGGTGTGGTTGAGTGATAAGATCTTTGTTGTTGTATCCAAGGTCTTAGATTCGATTTTTTTTTGAGAACACACATAGTAAAATGACTTTGTTGTGTAACACTCGCAAAGGATAACTTCTAAGACTTTGGCTCCCTTAAGGTCAAACTCTAATGGTCATTCCTTTATAATTTTTTTTTTTTTTTTATAGAAAATGTAAACCCAAAAAAATTATTCCAAAATTTATTTGGATTGATTTTGAACTATATGAATCTTAATCTCACAATATGTTTTTTTGAACTAAAATTTTTAATTTCTTAACGTCGTTGTTTATGTTACCTTCATTGTTTTGCATTTATTTTAAAATTTGCTATATATTATTGATTTTTTCTCTATTTTATTTTATTAGGATATTTAAAAAGATATTATTCGTTTTTGTTTTCTATAACTATTTCAAACACAATTAATTATGAGTGTCCACCTAGCGGTAATACAAAATAATGGAAAATCAAATACATAATATTTCCTTCCTATTTTTTCTTTTGGTAAGTGAGCAATAAAAGAATATGAACTCAATCATGTTAAGTAAGATGGTGTTTGATAAAACTGAAAATTTAAAATTGAATGCTGAAAATTAAATATTAAAAACTGAATGTTGAGTTTTTTAAATTGAAAAACTATTTAATAAAAACTTAAGTACTGAACTAGAATAAGTTATTTGATATGTACAAAATAAAATATGAATTTTATTATTTTTAAATTATACTTCCAATTTTTATATTGTGATGGTAGCGCAGTGGCTATACTTTGGTTATTGCGCCAATAACAATGGTGGTGGAGCTCGATGAATAGTGGTTGTGTCAATGGTGGACTAGCAATGTAGTGAAGGTAAAAAGGGGATGACAACAGTTGTGTAATGATAGTAGTGATTGTGGTGGTGGTGGTGGTTTTGGTAATAGTGGCAATGGATGTGGAGATAAAAAGTAGTATAGTAGTTATTGTGGTGATAGTAAAAAGTGGCAACACTAAAAAGTGGCAACTGTTGTAGTAGCAGTGAAGTCATGGTAGTGTTTATGGCAACGATGACAACGGAGGTAGTGGTAATTATGGTGGTGATAGTGGTAGTGGCGATGGTGAGGTGGCGGCAACAATAGTTGTAGTGGTAGTAGTGATAGTGGTAGTGGCAGTGATAATGGTGGTAACAATAGTGGTGGTAGAGGTGATGCAATATTTGTAAGGTTATAATAGTACATGTCGATACTTATGTATACTCAAAAATTCAGTCAGAATTAAATAAGTTTTCAATCATTTAAAATTTTCTTAACTTTTAGTCTATATTTTAAGAGTTACTTAAATATTTAAGTGATACAAATTATGATATCAAACGGGGTTTAATTGATTTTTACTTAATACATTTAGTTTTAAGTGCTGAATTAGGCTGAAAACTGAAAATTAAGTATTGAAAAATGAATGCTAAATTTTTTAAGATGAATACTTTTTGATAAAAATTTAAGTGCTAAATTAAAAATAAACTGTTTGATATGTATAAGATCAAATTTGAAATTTATTATTTTAAAATTGTATATTTCAATTTTTATATTTTAATGGTAGTGGTAGCAGTGATGGTGATGGTGATGATGGTAGTAGTAATAGCGGCAGTGGCATAATGGTGGTGGTGGTAGCAATAGCGTTGATAGTAGTAGCATGGTTGTAGTAGCAGTAGTGATGGTAGTAGTAATAAAAATGATGATGGTACTTATGACAATAGTGGTGAAAGTGGTGGTAGTAGTGGTGGTGGTGGTAATGATGGCAGTGGCATAATGGTAGTGGCAGTGGTGGTGGTAGCAGTGGTGGCAGTGGCGATGGTGGTAGTAGTGGTGGCAGAGGTAGTAGTGGCAGCTGTGATGGTAGCGGTAGCGATAGTGGCGACAGTGGCCTAATAGTGGCGATTGTGGTGTTGATTGTAGTAATAGTAGTGGTGGTGGTGATAGTGAGTTTACAATATCCGTTTGGGAAGATGGTTTATGGGCTTTTTTGGCTATTTTAGTCACAACAAATAAAACATCACATCCAACCCATAATCATTACACTCTTTTCTCACAAAAAAAGTCAAAAAAGCCAAAAAGCCCTTCCCAAACCAAGATTTTTAGCCGAGGCTAAAATAGCCAAAAAAGCCAAAAAGTCAAAAAACCAACCTACTTCCCAAACAAAGCCACTTGATACTTATGTTTAATATTTATAAATTCAATTAGAATTAAATAAGTTTCATATATGATTTAAAATTTTCTTAAGTTTAGCTTACATTTTAAGAAATACTTAAATTTTTAGGTGATGTCAATTGTGATTATCAAATGGGCTTAATTGATTATCACTTAATACATTTAGTTTTAAATATTGAATTAGATTACCAAACACCTCTTAAGAGAGTGTCTTATTTGTCAGGCTAAACTCGTGCTTTTATGTTAACCATAATTATTTGACTCTATTTACATTTTGGCTAATTTTATAAGAAAAATGAAATTCACACAAAATTTAACAGAATATTTTTAGTTGGCTCCCTAAAACATATTTTGTGTTTGTTCAAAGACAACTAAATATGCTTGTTAGTTTAAGGACACTAACATCTTTTCTGAACAAAACTATTATTAGTCTAATTTTATTATTCCACCACCTCCATCAGCCACTGTCACTTTTAGTTGTTGGCAGCACCGTTAATTGATACCTTCGGTGACAACCACCGATTGCAACCTCTGA